GCCTGTGCTTTGCCTCACTGTGCGGGGATGTTGAGGAGGCAGGTAGCATTTTTCTGCCTCAGTGTGAGAGGCAAAGAGGACCGGTGCTATGACACATGGCACCTCACCACTGGGGAGTGGGGCTAAGAAGACCAGCAGCAGCTTCTCACCACAGTATAGAGTGGGGAAAAGGTTGACACTGCCTTGCTCAGCTGCCAGGGTATGAGGAGGACAGGTTCTTGCTAAAGTGTGGAGAAGGAGGGAGGGTGGCACATTTTCACCATGGCATGTGGGGGAGGGCCAGGCCAGGCACAATCTTCCTGCCACCCATGGCCGGGCAGGGGTGAGGAGGGCAGATGCTGTGTAGGTATAGCCTTGGGCTGGCCCTGGTAGGTATTAAGTGATGGAGAAATGTACAGACCCTGCAGGACCGGTGCTATGCAATAGTCTGTGTGGTACAGTGGTCAGAATGGCGGACTATGATCTGGAAGGTTCAGGTTTGAATCCCTGCTCTGCCACAGAAGTGTGCAAGGTGACCCTGGGCCAGTGGTGCGCTCTCAGGCTAACCTGCCTCACAGTATAGTTGGAGATGGAGGAGAGGAGGGTGATGTAAGCCACTTTGGCTTGCCATTTTGGGCCAAGTAGAATACAAATTAAGTAAATGAAATTTTATTTCTGTTTAACCGCTTAACAAATCAATGTGAATAAGACAAACAGATCAATTAAAACCAGCTGCCAGATTTAATTTTGCCACAGATCAGCTTGAACAACATTCTTTTTTGCTCCCCCCCCCCAAGAAATCCCCCATACTATCATTTATGATTCTACAATATGCAAAGTAAGATACCTCCATCCAATAGTCACTTACCATATTAGGGCATTTTAAGCAGCCTTCTGTTTACCTGGCCATATTTCCATTTTTGTAAGCAGGTTGTACATAGTTTGGTGTGTCTATTATTTACTCAGCACTGAGTAAATGCAGCCATTTGCTTGCAGGCGTTCAAATAAATATAGGGTTGGGGATGCCTCACAAACTTGGTAAATGTGTAGTACTTACCATGACTCCTTTTAAGGGGATTTGTACAAATGAAAGGATTTTTTCCATTAAAAAGGAGATTTTTATTCAAAGCCAATGTGGTATTGGAAAGAAGTATTATGCTATGGTATGGAAGGAGGGGAGAGCAGGAGAGAAACTGGAAGTACAAATCACTAACCTCTGCAGTTTGTGACATGTAAGAATGAATAGCTCAAATCCCATATGGGAACAACTTTACAGTTACCACTTATCTGTGAGTTTTCTTAAAGGGACGGGTCATCTAGGCACCCAAAGATTGCCCAGGTCATTCGCCTGAAGAAAATTTGTATGTAAACCATCCTTATTATAATCCCTGTTAACAGATAAGGCTAGACGTAGAGGTCCAGTTTTAATAAATAAGAACAGAACCCTTCTGGATCCAATAGAAAGCCAGCCAGGAGTAGTGGTTAGAGTGTTGGACTAGTTGGACTAGCAGACTGAAATCCCCATTCTCAGGGCTTTTTTGGTAGAAAAATCCCAGCAGGAACTCATTAGCATAACAGGCCACACCCATCAGCAGAAACTCCTTAGCATATTAGGCCACACTCCTGATAGCACAGCTCATTAGCATATTAGGCCACACCCCCATGTTGCCAGAGGTGTGATCATCCAGCCACACCCACCTTTTGCTTCTTATTATGTTTACCTTGTTCGTTGTCAAAACCCAGGGCTTTTTTGGTAGCAGGAACTACTTTGCATGTTAGGCCACACACCCCTAATGTAGCCAATCCTAATGAGTTTCTGCTGTTGGGTGTGGCCTAGTATGCTAATGAGTTCCTGCTGGGCGTGGCCAACTCGGGAGCCAACCGGAACTCCGTTCCTGTGCGTTCCTGCCCCAAAATAGCCCTGCCCATTCTGCTATGAAGCCTGCTGGATGACCGTGGGCTAATCACTCTCTCTCCAACTAAGGGTAGTTGCATGGGGATAAAATGAAAGAGATTATATACGCCTCCTTGAGCTCTTTGGATGAACCATAAGATTAAAAGGTGCTAAATAAATAAATAAAAATTGCAAACCACAGATGCCCTGCTTACAAAAAAAAAAAAAGATGATTACAGCATAACCAATAAACAAGTTCAGTAGGGTGTTTAGATCTGAGACAATAGCATGGGACTACCCACAATTATTTTGAATTACCAGTGAGATCAATGGAACTTTGAAATACAGTTTCTGATCTCGTCAGATCTTGGAAGCTTAAGATGTTTCTGATCTCATCAGATCTTGGAAGCTTAAGCAGGGTGGGCCAGTATTTGGATGGGAGACCTCCAAGGGATACCAGGGTTGTGATGTGGAGGCAGGCAGTGGCCAACCACCTCTGAATGTCTCTTGCCTTGAACACTCCACAGGGCTGCCATAAGTCAGCTGTGACTTGATGGCACTTTCCCCCACCAAGGTCAGAGTGCCAATCAATTTGTATTCAAACATTTCAACTTCTCAGTGTGACAGATCAAGTAATTCTGTTTATTGCAGGAGTTACACTTTCTCCCATGAAATTCAGAGCCTGGTGTTTAGATGCAATGTTCCCTAGGAAGGGGAAGTAAGGGCACAGAGACAGGCACAAAGTCAGAAGCTATACGTGACCGACTCTTCTACATGGTCATATTTCACCCAAAAGGAGAAGACTCTCCCATTGTGAGACTGTGGAGGGCAGTATCACTTGGTGCCTGGCCTGGATAGCAGCTCCAGCTGTGGTAAACCACTGAGATCTTTAAGGGAGCAGAGACTTAGCAGCCAGCCTGCTCTTCTGACTATGCTGCTGACCATTCTTAGAGTTTGTTTCCCAGCAACACTATGGAGTAGGATAAGCAGAGAAATTATTATTGACCCATAAGTTTCATAGCTGGGGGGGAGGGAAGAATTCAAGCAGGTTTCCCATGGCAAACCTATTGCTATTCACTGTGCCATACTCAACTAAAAAATTGGGAAAAAATAGTGGTGGCCTTGCAGTTTTAATAGATTTTTATAGTCTTTGGGGGAGAAAAACAAGGAACATAGAAGTGCGAGGGCGGAATGTGTTGCTTACGAAGGACTTGAACATACGCAGTGGGAAAAAGAGAGCCACATCTTCCATGCTCCAGCCTCACTTTCCTGTGCCAAGTATTTCAGGGCAAACAGGCTCACTCTCTCTATTCATAGAAAGTACCTATTAGGAAAAAATATCCCTGCATGATTCAGCAGTCCACAGAGCCCACTGCAAACCAGATACTGTATAGCATATTACTTTGGAGTGAGATAATAAGAATGGTCCCCAAATATCTCTGTTTTACACACACACATACGCGCTGCAGCCACAGTTGGAAACTGACTCATCATGAGAAATTATCTGAAAACAGTCTGCTTCTATATTTGTAGAGCCTTGTTGTCTTCTTGCACAGATAAGAAGGGAGGGGGGGAGGAATTCCCAGGCTTGTTCCTAGCAACCATCCTGGCAACCTCTCCTTCCCCCCCCCTTCCCCCATCTGAACTCTCTGCCCATCACAAAGCTAATGGCATGAGATGAATCAAATAATACATTCTTACCTGTTGCTCAGGGAGGATTAAATATTGTGGGTGGGGACTGTGTCCCTGGGAAAAACAAGAGACTCAGTCTATGTCCATCCAGTCAAACATGCCCTGTGAGAAGAACATAGTTGGTGGGTCTAAAGGCCCAGTCCATTGACCACCAAGTAAATTCTTATTAGAGCTGATAAACTGCTGATCAGACACAGTTCACTCAGCAGTCTCCATTCATTCCTATGAAGACTCCTTTCATTCCTATGAAGTCACTGCAAATGGGTCTTAAAAAGCACAATTCAGTCGTACTTCATGGAGACTGGAGTCCTTCCTAAGGCCAAAGGTGAAGTCTAATTGTTGAAAATAAATACGCACATAGCCAAGATCCAGCCACCAATTTGGGAAACGGAGATTCCCCATTAATGAGGCAGACCGCACTTCATCCCTTTGCACTAGCCATTGCAAAGAAAGGGGCAGTCCAGGCCTGCAAAAGCCTTGTGCACAGGTGGGACACTAACCTGTAGGGGTCAGAGTGCTGGACTAGGATCTGAGAGGCCAAGACTGAAATCCCCACTCTGCCATGGAAGCTTAGGCCAGTCACACCCCCTCAGCCTAACCTACCTCACAAGTTTATTGTGAGGATAAAATGAAAGAGGGGAGAATACTTTGGATCCCATTGGGGAGAAAAGCAGGGTGTATGTATCTAAATAAATAGCCTTTAAGGGTTTCTTGGTACTGCAACCTTGGTACTGCATGGTTGAAAGACGGTGTTCTTAATGTATCTGTGTACATTTGTTTTAGGGAGACGTATCTAACTTTGAGGTTTTCAGGGAAAGATGAGAGATAATTTCAAGTTCTCTATCAAACTGGGGAAATCCCGCGTGAGATTTTACAGGTAGTTTATTTTGAATGTGGATTTAAAGGGGGTTGTCACACACCCCTTCCACTTTCAAAAATAGTCAGTGATGGTCCTGATGTGGCCTTGAATGTTCATTTTTAAAAACAATACTTTTCAAGGAATAAATAATCTAGTGTCTTTCTCCCTTTTGTAGTAAATCTGATTTATATCTTTTGGAGGTAGGATGGACACCCACTGAGGCAGAATTTTTGTGGAATTCAGGTTTAGTGCTATGAGGGGGGGGCAGTTCTGAACAGGAGAGACGTATTTTTAAGTCCTATAAATCAGGTCTGTGGTGGTGGGAAGAATTCTGGGCTGGACGGCGGAGAACCCTCTCGCTGGTTGGAAATACAGCGCCTTTTTTGTGCGTTGAAGTGCGCCAGCTTTTTCAGACAGGAGGAATGCGAAGTGTCAAGGGGTCAGGATCAATCCGGTGTGAGTTGATGAGGCAGGAAGGTGGAGAAGAATGTCAGGAATGTCGCTGTTTGTGTAGGACTCCATTCAGCCGATTGGCGAGTCCCGGGCGCCTGGAGTGTATAAAAGCAGCCGGGGCTGCCTCCTGGAGCCTCAGACAGCAATCGCTCTTGCTTTCAGACCGAGAGAAAGAGAGACAGAGGACGCAGGCACTTTGCAAGCAGCTGCCCAGCCGAGACGACCCGACGCACCGCCGCTCCCTCGCAAGCTAGCGGCGAGCTTTCCCCGAACCCACCAGGACAAGGCGAGCCGCTCCGGCCCAGACTCCACGCCGCTTTTTACAACCAGGAACAAGCAGCCCGAGCATGCTCGCAAGGATGGGACCCGGCAGTTTTGCCTTGGCGCTCCTCATCGCCCTCTTCGGCCGGGTAAGTGTCTCTGCTGGCGTCGAAGGCAGCTCTGGTTTGGGGGCAACTTGCGGGGGGGAGGGTGTCTCTCTCCCTTGCTCCGTCCGCTCATGCCCCGCCGCCTGTGTCCCTCTCTCTGTCCCCAGGAGGTGGCCGGCCAAGACTGCAGCGGGCAATGCCAGTGCCCGGCGGCGCCTCCCGAGTGCCCGCCGGGGGTGAGCCTGGTGCCAGACGGCTGTGGCTGCTGCCGGGTGTGCGCCAAGCAGCTGGGCGAGCTGTGTACCGAGCGGGATCCCTGCGATCACCACAAGGGGCTCTTCTGCGACTTCGGATCCCCGGTCAACCGCAAGATCGGAGTGTGCACCGGTGAGTTTCCCTTTCACTCCAGCGCCTTGGGAGGGTAGCAGAGAGAGTCAGAGGACGATCCCTGACAGGGGCTTTCGGGTCCTTCCTTCAGCAACCCTCCAGGGCTCTTTGGGTATAGAAGACCTCTTATCTAATGGCTGGCTGGCTGCCTCTCATACAGCTGTTGGGGTTACAAGACAACGATAGCCGTTTCAGGGACCCAGGGGCAGCCCATTAACACCCCAACTTCAGTTCGCTGAGCTCCTTCTTTAGTGCAGGTGTTTCCCTCGAGTTTTCCCCACCAGAGTCCTCATGAATGCTGTTTCCTCTTTGCAGCAAAGGATGGTGCCCCCTGTGTGTTTGGAGGAATGGTGTACAGGAGTGGGGAGTCCTTCCAGAGCAGCTGCAAGTACCAGTGCACTTGCCTGGATGGGGCAGTGGGCTGCGTGCCTCTCTGCTCCATGGGTGTCCGCCTGCCTAGTCCTGACTGCCCGTACCCCCGAAGAGTAAAGCTGCCTGGCAAATGCTGTGAAGAATGGGTGTGTGATGAGCCCAAGGACAAGGAGCAGACCGCGGTTGGACCTGCTCTTGCTGGTGAGTTGGAGTTTTCATACGAGCATTAGCTGTTGGTGCTCTAGATAGAATGTGAGCACCAACCTTCTGTGGTTCTGGGTTCCAGGACAGTGACCCCCATCTTCTCCTACAAGGCAATAGCAACAATGTTGTTTTTTTACTGTGCTTTTCAGCATATAGATTGGAAGACACTTATGGACCTGACCCATCGTTGATGCGTGCCAATTGTTTGGTCCAGACCACCGAATGGAGTGCTTGCTCAAAGACTTGTGGAATGGGCATCTCCACCAGAGTCACCAATGACAATGCCTACTGCAGACTAGAGAAGCAAAGCAGGCTGTGCATGGTGAGACCTTGCGAAGCAGACCTGGAGGAGAGCATCAAGGTAAATACTGATTTTCTTCAGCAAATGTCTGTGCATAGCCGTCTGGCTGGTCTCGCTCTATTACAGATCAGTTGCAAATATAGTGCAATGTGCAAATGTACATAGCTACTATAAAATAATTAGAAGGAAGATTGGGTGGGGGGGGGCTGTTAAAAAAAACTTGAGATTTGCCCTTAAGTTAATGTGTTGTGGCTTTCTAGAGTGTCTATGTAATATAATTCTAAACAGATTTCCATGGATTGAAAACCTCACTGAATTTTTTAGGATTTGTCAGCCAGTGATTTCAGTGAGCACATGGTGTCCTGGCTGAATTGTACCCAGTGTGTTCTTAAGAAAAGGAAATAGTAAAAATACCCTGCTTAGATTACATGTATTGAATATATTAATGGAATATGAATGGAAACCTTGCGTATCTGACATGTAAAATATATGAATCCTATATGTTTTCCTCAACAGAAAGGCAAAAAGTGTATTCGTACTCCCAAGATCTCCAAGCCCATCAAGTTTGAGTTGTCTGGCTGTACCAGTGTGAAGACATACCGAGCCAAGTTCTGTGGTGTCTGCACTGATGGGCGTTGCTGCACCCCCCACAGAACAGCCACTCTCCCTGTGGAATTCAAGTGTCCCGATGGTGAGGTCATGAAGAAGAGGATGATGTTCATCAAAACCTGTGCATGCCACTACAACTGCCCTGGGGACAATGATATCTTTGAGTCTGTGTATTACAGGAAGATGTACGGAGACATGGCATAAAGCCAAACAAGGGACTCTTAAACTTGACCGTCAACTTGAACTGATAATTGCATCTCATTTTGTAAAACCTGATTCAATAGCACAAGTTATTTAAATATTTTTTAAAAAAAATCAGTCTGTTCCATGTGACTTAAAACAGAAGTGTCTACTGACCCCAAACTTTGGTTTGAAGGAAAAAAAATAAGATGGACAGTGAGGAACCACAGAAAACCTGTGCCTCAGAATAGAGTATACTGTTTATGGGGATGATATATAGGGATTGCTGAAGGAGATGTGCACTCTCAGACATAGTGCAATTGAAAAAGAGCCTTAGGGAGGTTATCAGCATGTGTTTCTGTGCTGGTAATTGTTGGACTGGAACCCTTCACCCACCAAGGTGCTAAGTAATGATGTTCTAACATCAGAGCAGCAAGAATTCTGCTTTTTGAAGTTCTGATTCAAGTACATTCTTTCAAAATGAATTGGTCTTGGGTGTGTTAGACTGGACAGCTTGTACAGTGAACTTGCCTGTTACAAGCTAGATTTTTTTAATATTGTAAATATTGTATGTGTATATATATAAATATATTTGTACAGTTATCTAAGTTAATTTAAAGTTTTATTGCCTTTTTAAATGCTTTGATACATCAGTGTTAGCCTCTCCTCTCCTTTTTAACAGCTTGTCTGATCCAATACATTCAACCATTGAAATAGATAATAGGGGTTCTTTTCAGTTAATAGGGGGGGGGGAATAGTGAACTGAATTGATGATTTACTGAAAAAGAGGTACCCTCATGTCCTTTGGAAGCATTTCATCAAATTGGGGGTAAGAAGGGTCTTAATGGCCCCAAGCTAAGAAGAGCAGTTCATTGATCAACTACTATCTTTCTTCCCAGAGACCTTTGTTTCTTTCTTTGACCATGGCTGTTTTGGGGACAGTTTGTTACATGTTGAGAAATGTGACCAAAAGTTACATGTTTGCACCTTTCTAGATGAAAAAATAAAGTATTTTATTTTTTATATAAATCGATTTGCAAGTCTCTTGCTTTTGTTGAGTCTAGCAGTTAACTTTCCTTACTTGTATTCTGGCACACTCCCATGTGTACGGATGCTTTGGTGCATGAATATGGCATGTAATTTATCAGGTCAACCAAAGCACAATCAGGAAGTTCTGAGCAAGGACAGCCTCTTGGCTGATTAGTAAGACTGAATATGTAAGCAGTTATATCTAGAGTTCTTGAAAGCTGCCCGTCAACTCTTTGAAAATCAGAATATGCTGAAACTTCCACTGAATAAATAAAGTGCACCAGTTAGACTACTTCACCATATGCTGCATCTGGAGGATTTGTGTTTGCATTAAGTCAAAATTTTGGATCTATGCGGATTCAGTTGAGTCCCACCAATGCCATTCAAGGCACTTTTGTAATGGCACACACACAAACACTGAATCAAACCATTATTTATCAAGGTCAGTATTTTCTACTTTGACTGGCAGAGCCCTCCAGGGTCTCAGGCAGGGGCCTTTCACATCCCCTCCTACCTGATCCTTTTAATTGGAGATGTTGGGGATTGAACCTGGGACCTTCTGCATGCTGCTCAGATGGTTTACCACTGAAATGCACATACACACTCAGAGCTTTCTTGCCTATCAGGCAGGGCTTCCCCATTCATTTCAGGGGACACCTGCCTGTTCATAAATAAATGCATCAGCAGAGCCACCCCATCTAAGTGAATTTGTTTTCACTGTACACAGATTTGGATGGGGATTACTTAGCTTCAAGTCAAGCAGTTGAACTACCACATGGACTTCAGCCTTAAACATGCATTCTGAATAATGGCAGTATGGGAGCTCTTTATCCTGTGCTCTCTGTTAAGTTTTTCAGCACAAACAACATTTTAAGGCCCAGTGAAATCAAGAGCACACTTTAGTGCTTAAATCCATTGGCTTTAAAAAGGAAGGCACTCCAGTCCTTACTTGGTCTCCATGGCCACTGTGGTTTTCCGTATATTTCTAGGAACTATGGCAGAGAAATATTAACTATATTAACCTCAGATTCCCCCCTACCCTATATTTTGCAGAGAAACAGTTCAATATTTCTGTAAGGAAAAACACTATTGTGACTCAACCAGGACTCCTAGATAAACCATTGTATTCTTCCCCGTTAATAGGCGGGGTTATCTGAGGGGTGGGCCCTAACAGCTTTTCTACTGATGCTAGAAGGAGGAGGAACAATCTCACCCAGAAACTGTATGACGTTTTGTCCGCATGGGTTCTATGATTCCTGACATTGCCTTTTCAGAGTTCTTTGCCTTCTTGCACTTACAGAAAAGCTGTTAGGGGTCAACCCTGTATATTCATAAACTGTCAATACTGGAACAATCTCACAGCTATAGGAGATGAACTACATAACACATTCACAGCTAGATTCAAGTCCAGTAGCCCCATAGAGATCAACAAGATTTTCAGGGTATGGGGGGGGGGTTAATTTAATTTTTAAAATAACTTTATTAATTGTTAAGTACCCAAAAAAAGAGCAATCCAAAAATAAAACTATTATAACATTATCGAGCAGTAGATATTCCCAGAAAACCTGGGTTAAACTTAAATTTTCATACACCCACAAAACAATTCATATTGACACATGTTTGCAATAGCCTTACAACTTTAACCAGATTATATAATCATTTCTACATGGAAGAACTTCATTGTGTCTCAGAAACCCAATAACTGGCTTCCAGATTTCATCATAATCACAGGGTGAAAAAGACAACAGGGAACCAACAAAGAAATAATTGTTTACTGTTTTCCCCATGATATAAACATCCCAACGTTTGTCAACCCAGGCATCTATGGAAGGCCCGTTAGGGTTCTTCCAATTGGCTGCAATCACCTGTCATGCAGCTGCAATTAGTATTGAGACCAAGGATCATGGACTCTTTTCCATTGAATAATCGGGCCATAAATCAAAAATAAAAAGGCCTGGAGACATAGTGAAATAAATGTCTAGGGGTATGAGGTTTTCAGAGTCAAAGTTCCTTTTGTCAGATACCCTCCGAAATGGAGAATGAATTCAGTGAGGGATCACTGAGAAAAGCCTTCAGAAGATGAGAAATGGCATCCTTAGGTAGCCGCAGTGGGCCAAGATGGGCTAATGGTGCAAAAAGTCAAGTGGGAATGGTTTACAAATCAGTAGATCTGCAGTCCTCTAAGGAATTACTCTGCAGAAGTGCCTTTGCTTGCTGTGCGGCTGGGACGGCGCTTAGGTTTGAAGGTCCTGCCCATCTTGGTGCCATCTTCCTGGCCTCAGCCTTCTGTCACTGCCATTCCCTTCCGAGTGCCAATGGATGCCCAACCAGGAGGGGATGCAAGGACTGCAAGCGGGCATAGGAGAAGAAGACGCAGGCCTGTGAAGAGGAGGTGGAAGATGATGCAAGGTTTGTGAGAAGGGAAATGAGAGCCAGGAGGGGAAAGCAAGGGGGGAGCTAGAGTAAGTGGGAGGGGGAAGAAAGGGCAAGGAGTCAGCTTGGAGAAGCCGTTAAAGCTCCTCAGTTTTGACCTACAATGGTCCTGTTCACACAAGGGGATTTGGGCCAGTAGCAGGACGGTTCGGGGGCGGAGCAAATGGACGCGATCACACCACAACATCTGGGAAGCGTAGTGCTTCCGTCCCCGAACTGGCCCCATCCACGCGATAAACCGCTCCAAGTTGGAACCACCTACCGAGGTGGTTCATCCCAATGGTGCGCCGCAAACCGGGAGTCTGATCGCCGGCGCATCCTTGCGCCGGCGCGTCCCCGGCTCCTAGGCGAACTGCGCATGCTCCGACATGCGCAGTTCGGCTGGCTCGCCGTCCGATCTGTGTTTTCTCCCCGGCATCTGATCGTGCCGGGGAGAAAGGCAGCGCAGCCAGGGGATCCGTTGGATCCCGCCGCGCCGTTTCAACTTTGGCGCAGCTTTTAAAAGCCATGCTTTTTGGCGGCTTTTCCCCTGCCGTGTGGCAGGAGCCAATGTAGATGTAATGTGGCCATATTTAATTATAATAATAGCCAGTTAAGAAACTCTTCAGGAATTACAATGCCATTCTAAGCAAAGTTACACCCTTCTAAATCCACCTAAGTCAGTGGGCTAAAAAAGGTGCAACTCTGCTTAGGGTTGGCACTGTTAAGTCATGAATGATTTAGAACTACACAAGGGCAAAGATGTTTCTTGTACAGAATCCAGTGGTTTCAATGATAGAGAAACAGGATTCACTTAAGAAAACTGACTTTTGAGTGACATCTGTAGAAACAGCACAACCCAATGAGGTAATTTGCATTCCTTCTGATTACTGTAAGTCCTTTACCAAACAGCATGGTAAGAAGACACTCTAGCTATTATTTTAATGAAAGGTATCGTCAATGAAATGAAAAATTATTCCACCCACCCAGTGTGCCACCAAATTTTTGTTGTGTTTTAAGTCTATGATTCCCCACCTTCATTAGAAAAGGGCCAGGGTGTGGCTTTCATACACGTAGACTCTGTTATATTTTATGTTCTTTACATATGGAAACAGTTACCAAGAAATTGGTCCATCTGGGCTGAAAAAGCAACAGAAGGCTGTGCCCAAAAACAAGGGGAACCTGAGAACAGAAAGAGTTCAGTTAATATATTTTTTACTTCATTTTTCCATTCCTTTTTTCCTAACCGCTGCATTTCCCACATATGACCATACATGGAAGTCACCAAAATACCACATTTAAACAGGATTTTCAGCCTGATTTAACCAGGAAATGCCGGGGATTTCTTAAAACAACCTTCTCCAAGGCTTCAATAAGGCCACAATCCGAAAAGCATGCTTATGATAGGGTAAGTCCCACTGACTTAAACGGAACATACTTTTGAACACACACCCTCAGCACTGCAGTGCACAGCTTTTGATATGTTCAACATGTTTAGGACATGCTTATGGGAAAGTAAACTATTATTGGGATAAAAATCAAATTATGTATGTAATGAGTTAGACTGTTGCCTCGATCAAACAAGCAGTGTACATGTATCTTGGTGAAGCCACTTCTGCATGTTAGAGTTGCCATCTCTGGTTTGGGAAATCCCCAAAGGTTTGGGGCAGTGCTTGGGGGGGTGGAGTCTGGGGAGGGGGCTCAGCGGGGAAATGATGCCACAGACTCTGAAACTGCCAAGTCTGCCATGGGAACTGATCTCTTACATCAGTTGTAAGGACCCCACCTTGGCTAGTGGGGTCCCCTCTTATTTTGCTTAGTTGTTTTTTGGTAAACAAATTTTTATTTTTCTTAGGAATTCAACATATAGAAATAAACCATTTCATCCTTTCCATTGTCTACCCCATTCCCATTTCCTCCCCTCCCTCCAGTGGCTTCCCGCAATGCTTCCCCCCCCCACTCCACATTACATTACTTTACACCATCAATTATATCATTTTCTTATCATTACAATCTCAAGATAACATCATTTGACTTAATATTGATCTAAACATATTAAGTTTTGCTTCACATCCCAGTTCTTTTCCAGATATGTTTTAAAGTCACTCCATTCTTGAAAAAACACGTCATCCTCTTTGTTGTTCAACTTTTTCGTAATTTTATCCATTTCTGCCATGAACAGAACTTTTTGTATCCAGTCTTCAATTTCTGGTACTTTCTCTGTTTTCCAAAATTGTGCATAAATCATTCTCGCAGTTGTAATTAAGTACCAGAATAAAGTCTTTTTAGTCGTATTGATTTCTTCCATTTTTAATCCCAAAAGCAGAATTTCTGGTGTCTTTTTGAAAGAGCATTTCAGTATTTTTTGCATTTCTTTGTGGACTTTTGTCCAATAGTCTACAGCTTTCTCGCAAGTCCACCACATATGGTAAAATGAGCCTTCATGACTCTTACATTTCCAACATTTGTTTGACATATTCTGGTTCATATTTGCAATTTTTTTCGGAGTCATGTACCACCTATACATCATTTTATAACAAT